TTGTGATCGACTGATCCACTCAACAGGAACAATAAGCTGATTAAGTGAAGATGAAAAGATCAACACTATTGATTGTGGATAGTTGTTGGGGGTATCTAAACAAGACATGCAACAAGCTTAAATACTGAATATTAATTAGGGATATCAGTGTGCAGACAATTTTAGATAATTGATGTTTTATTAAAAAATATCCACATAACTTATCCTAACAACGTTTTTTAATTGTAAACTTTTAATTTGAAAGTTGAATGGACAAAACAGGATGCATGTTTCACATTTAAAAGCTTACAATAATTACCAGGGAGAGGGTAATCTGTTATAGCTCAGGAGCTAAGGGAATAGAAAACAGCTGGATTAAAATGGAATAATTTAGCATGTTGCTAATCATTCATGTAATTGGAAGCTAATTTGAAAATTTTTCATGTTGGCATTCAAAATCCTAATTTGGAAACATATCCTCTCCCACTACACTCCTACTACAAAACCCATTTAAATAAATGCATTACACTCTCTGCATTCACAGTGCAGACACAGTGTGTAATGGTGAAAGAGTGTCCTGTGTGTTTATGGCAGGAGGTTTGCAAAAAGCCTCCCTCAGTGTTTACCAGTGAGGGCAGATGTCAGGGTTTGCTGTGGAGGAGCAGACACAGCCACATCTGATTAACAATATTATTGTCCTCCTCCACACCGCCATAAAGACTCATACACCCCCCCCCCCTTTTTCTTTTCTTTCTTTCTATTTCAGGCTCTGGCAGCGTGCTGTCCTGTGGCATGGCTGAGCCAGAGTGACACTGCCACCATCCACATAAACAAAACACGAGCCAAGAGCCAGAAGGTTAAGACAAACAGCACTGCTGTATCTCACCAGACAGAAAACATAAAAATATCTTGGGATACACATATAAAAAAAATATATACTGGGTATTCAAACACACTCTGCAGCATTTTCACTGTTATTTTTGTGCAATTTTAAAATATATGCAACTTGAATTCAGAACAAATCATCAGCATGTCTGCAACAAGTGAAACACCAGGGGGTAAAATTTACTTACATTTCAGTTTCAAAATCATGTGTCTCGTGGGAGTATCTGTGTTCATATGTGCATGTACAGTTAACCTACGCATCAGCCTCATTGTAAATTTGTGTTTGATTCTACCCTCTCATCGTTCCTCTGTACATTCTGATTGGTGATTTTTTTTCTTCTTTCCGTCGCCAAACTGTCACATAGGCAGTAACCTCACACGTTTCCAAGCTGCTTATTGAAGACAAACAATAAACCATTGGCAGATATCAATGGCAGAGATGAGAACCCGGGTGCCATATCTGCTGGGACTGCCTGGCGAACCTGCCTCTGCCTGCGCTTCATCTCCAGCAGCACCTCTCACTCTCAATTATTTGTCTGCTGTCACAACAAATCAATCAAATTACCGCTCCAGGACTGTGTGCAGCTGCTCCTATTGCACCGCTAGTTGCATTAGCTTTGAAATGTATGAGGTCTACATTTTATCACTGTTATTTATTTAATGCAGCTCTCTCCCCTGCGAGTCACCTTACAACCACAGCAAAGTTAAATCATTAAAGGACGACGTGGAATACACACAGCTTGAGAACACTTCAAATTAAACAGCAAGAAGGGAGAAGGGATGGGATTGGCCTCTGCTGTGTATAGATGGCAGATGTTGATGTGAGGAAATGTGGACTGCATGCACTGGGTCCTCTTAATGTACTCCTCTGCTGGCTGAATGGGCACACAAACAATAGCTTATTTATTTTCTTACTCCAAAATGATTGGACAAATATACACATGAGAAAAGAAAGCCCACAATGAGCAACTAGTGTGGCTATAACAAGCCCAAAAAGGATGCTTGAAATTCTCTAGCTCCGATAATGTAATGGGTAAAGGGACACAGAGGTACTCCTACAGCAGACAGAGGTTAAGTCAGTGGCCCGGCCCGGTGATCTTACCTCTTAAAGGAGCAGCAGTCAGCTGAGGCAGAAGAGATGCAGTCTGACATGTCTAACTAGTGTGGAAACATTTGGCTCTACCTCCAGGAGCCCACCCTTTGGTGGTGTAATGAGCAGAGTGATTTCCCTAATTTGTATCATGCCAACGCCCGCAACCTGCGAACGACACCGCTGAGCGTTTTCATCAAAACGCAGACATGCCTTTGATTGGCACTGACACTGGGTCTCATTACTGCAGGTGAGTGGGATGTCGACCTTTATCAGGAAGCTTGAGTGCTGTTTTGTGTTTCCTACGGACGAGTACAGAGGAACAATGCTCTCGCCTCGCCATTAGAACTCAGTTCTCTGATGTGATGCGCTGCCTGGCTTTCTGCTGAGAGCAAATAAGATGGGATATGCTTATTAATATGAAAGAGCTGCAGTAAACTAGCTTCTTGCATTACCTTTGAGTAAGTCATAGAGAAGAGGAGTAGACAGATGAGACTTTGTTGTGTTCCTCCCATTGGGCATTGCATGTACAGTGCTTTGATACAACTAGCTTTACAAGTATGGTAATCATGCTTTGCTTGTTATAAAATCATGTGAAATCTAAACCTATTAAAAATGCAGCAGAAAGACAAAAGTCTGTACATGTTTTGTCTGCATCAGTCGTACATGTGATACTGTGAAATTATGTACGATTTTTTAATTCATATGAGCCGTCATATTTACAGACCTCTAGCATGACACAACCTAGTTTTTGCCTCTGTGAAGTCAGCTAGAACTGTGTGCACTCTGTCACAAAAGATAACTTTCTCCCTTGTTTAGTTTCATTGGGAATTTGTTTTTACTGCATGTTTGCAGGCATAAATCATTCTGACAAATAACCAGTTACACTGGTGCCTGTGTTTACTGAGTCTGCCACAAGATGCTGCTCAGTTTTATTTAAGCAACTGCTCCAACTTTATAGCACAACCCCATTACAGTGATAGTTATTCATCACAGTCTGAGAGAGCTGCCCTCCTAAAGCTCACAGCAGTCCAGCCGGTTCCCTTCTGTCAACATTCATTCTTACAGAGCCAGCTTTGATTAACATGATCAAAACATGTGATCAAAACCCTGTTTGTTTTGATTTTGTATTTTCATTTAATTTCCCTCATTAACACTGAATATGAAAATGTATGAAATGCAACAAACATTTTGACAGAAAAACCTAATTTTGATCTAATATAACTTATTTAACATTTCACTCTTACACAGACTGAGACTACAAGCATCTCATATTAAGAATACAATTCCTCCACCCACAACCACCCATTCCCCAAGACAAACTGCCTTATTAGTTGGTCATTAGCCGCCTCATTACATCTAAACACAGCCATTGGCTGGGCCCCTCCTGGAGTCTCATTACTGTGCCTCACAGTTGTCTTGTGTCTGATCTGACGCTAATTAGCTAGCACCGTGAGTGCTGTAAAGCACACTTGCTCCTGAGGTCGTGAAATGAGCTGACTGCTCCCTGGCGACAGCGCAGAGCTGTATTATATGTGTGATTAATCAGGCCTGGAGACCCGTAGGGGCTGGGAGGGGAAGCGAGGGGGATGCGGGGCAGAGGCTAGAGCTGCAGTTGTCTGACAGAGGTGCTGTGCCAGCAGGCCTCATTCAGCGGAGCTGTGATGAACTCAGACAGGGGAGAGTGGAGGAGCGCCGCATGGCCAGAGGGGCCCGGACACAGTCAAGACATTTAGCTTCACTCGTGACTTGTGTCACTTTCTCTCCATGGAGGTCCCTTCAATGCATCCCCTTCAGATAAGAGGACGTGCAAACAGGCAGTCTGTCAGTCCATACGCATAAAAAAAGATCTGCCGCAGTGGCATTTCTCCACAACAGTTTTTTTTCGTTATCTCTCATGGATGGGAAATTTTATTAGGACATTGGATTCTAGACTGTCTGTTGGTTTGTTTAGCAGTAGGCAATAAGGATGTGAGAGGTGTTTGTTTTAGCGTTCTGACACACTGACAATGTGTTTGTCGATCAGTTCATCAGATCACTGAAGCCTGTGGGTTGTCCCTCACACACCAGAAGGAAGATCTGTTGAAGTGTGAGTCAGACGGGCCTGCTGGGCCCATTATCGTCCACTACTGATGGATACATTGAAGGGCTCGCTGGATAGATGCAGGTTTATTAAAAGCTCTGCCCACAGCGATGGCTGCTGTTATTTATGCATGTTTGTGTCCATTAGGCTTCTACCTTCACATTTCCTCACTCAGGGCATCTGTCCATCCATTTCCCCACATGAAGGGAGCCTTCCCTGCACTTTGTGCTGCACTAGCATTATTGTAATCTCCATCCTAAAAACACACTGCTTTACATGTAGCCTGGCATCTTTTCACATTAGTGCGGCTCTCTCATCCAAGATTTATGACTGATGGTTTTCCCATCCATCCCTCAATCTAATGGTATAAAAGAGACAATGTTTTAAACATTAAAATGAAAACCATTTACAACTATGATCAAAAGAGAACACTTGGGCATTAAAGTTTAAAAGGCAAGGATAAGTACAGCCATGTGGATGGACAGATGAGGTGGAAAGAGATAAAAAAGTGAAGTACAGTGCACTCTTATGCACAGGAAAGAGGCATAAAGTGCTTTTGCGCTGCACTGCAAAACGTTGACCTGTAATTAATATGGTTGTTCCCCTGGGCAAGTTGATGATAGCAGCTTTTTGGGATACAAACCACTGAAGGAGTCTTACCTGGTCAGAAGCTTTGTAAAGTATTATTAAAGAAAAAACAAAAACTGTTCCATGTATACAATAGAAGTATAACAAACTCTTATTGGGATCAATATCTGTTGTATTTATTTCTAATAGTTCCTGATAATTCATGTTCTATGACTCATTGTGTATAATATAAAAAAAACCTTCATTAGCCACATGACTTTTTAAATTTCAGCTTCCTAGAGTACCTTCTGCTTTCTTCCTGGCATCATGCTGATCCTGTTTTGTCAGGAACGAGTTTTTCTATAGCTGCATTTCAAACTTGGCCCTCTTTCTTACCTTGCAGGTTCTGGAGGGGGAGCGTCATGATGCCCCCTGCAGCAGCAGCAGCCACCAGGCTCTGGATGTTGGCTGTGGGCAGAGAGAGAACGAGGCCCTGCTGCCCGCCCAGGTGTCCGCCTGCGTTGAAGGGTATGAGGATGGGCTGGTTCATGCCTGGTGCCGCACCGGACATCACGCCGCCTACTGCGTTGGCCAGCTGCTGGGCCACAAGGAGAGACTGCAATAGACACACACAAAAACACGCATGCATAGCATCATTGGTTATATAATCTCAGATGGGTGTTTTTTCTTTTTAAATGTGTTTCATATCACCAGAAAAATCATTATTGTGTCATCATGGCCATTTTTGTAGTTGTGTGTAATATAATGTTCTTTTAATCATGTAAGCTATGAAAACAAAGACTGTGGTTGAGCTCTAATGTGAGTGGAGTTTAGTTGATGAATATAAAAACCATTTTACATCCTGGGATGCTTAATTAAGACATGTAAAACAGTAATGCAGATGTCACTAAAGTGACTGTATCACTAATGAATGTGTTTTGATGAATACAGCTGTTCTGCAGATTAATTCTGTGCTTTGCTGTGTGACAGACAGACAGACAGTCAAAAAACACTGCCGTTGGTACTGACAAAGATCAAATCCAATCTTTGTGAAAGAACTGAGAATTTTTCTTTCCCAGAGATGCAGAGTGATTTCTGTTTCATCCCGTTGAACCAACCCCTGGTACCAAAGGAATGTGCCTGAAATACACAGGGCTTTTCGAAAGAGTAGCAGTACTTCACTCTTTTGATGAGGGATATAACACATCACTTTCGTCTCTTCATGTATCCATTCAGTCATATTAGTTAAAGTGGAATCTGTGCAGTCATACCCATAGAGGAAAAGATATGTTATCAGCAGTATCGCTCTGAGATATTTTCCACAGTAGATCTCTTCAAATGTATTTTCCAAGGAAGTGGGTTTGGAAATACACCAACACATTTTTCATTGAGCGCTTTGAGCCACAAGTGGGAAGGTTTGTATCATGGCTGAAATCTCCATGAATACACAGGGAATGACATTTCATTCATTCTGATAAAACCGTTTTCAAATTATGTCAGCGTTTGAGTATGTCAAATGGAATTTGCACAGGAGGCACGAGACAGGAGATACTGAAGATGCAGCAAAATCCAATAAAATTACTGTTTAAACATTGAATTGAATTGTTTGGAATAAAATAATACAAGCACATTGTCAGCTTGTGTTGTGTCCATAGTAAAGCAGCCTTTAGACGTTGCTAGGTAAGCCTGGCTGCGCTGTGTTGACTCCTCCACTGTGACTTATGTTCACAAGGCTTTAACTCCAATTGTCAGCTATCTGCTTCTGTTTTGCATGGTGTGTCTGCAGCTTGCACAGGATGCAGAGCGGGCTGACTGGTGCGAAGACCCCACCATACTCCCAAGCCTGGTGCTCCTGGGTGACAGGCGTGTCACTGTGATAACCCTGCATGGTGCAGAACGCCTGCACCCACTCCGACATACATGCGATCACATTTTAAGAGGTACGGGGTCATGTGGGTTTAAAGCCACAAAGCACAGAGAGATCTCAGGGCAAAATAGCTGCACTGAGAGACAAATGAGTACCTGTTTGTGTTTCTAAGCTGTTAAAAGAATAAAAAAGCACAGAGGGGTGATTGTTGCTGGCAGGAGTAATAACACACATGGCATAGGAATCCTCTTTCTCAACATTTGCTTTGATACACAACAACAGTGCATAACAAATGACAATGTCTGACGCATCTGAGAGCATTCAAAATGACATTTGCCATTAAATTTAAAAAATGAATTAATAATTCGGGAGCTCAAAGAATCCTCAAAGGACAATAACAAAGGCATCCCGTTTGTTAGCTGCAAGTGACATATGTTTAATCTCGAATTTTAAACTAAATGTAATCTTGAATTGAAGCAGCATATAATCAAAGACACCCTTTGAACATTTCATCTCAGAGTCAAACAAAATGAGATTGCCAGGCTTGACAGCAAAGACAGCCTCACATAGAAGGGAATAACATTAAAAGACAATACTGCAATTATCAGATGTAGCCCTGATTTATTTAACATTACAGGCAGCTTTGGAGAATCAGGCAGCTGTTGAGACACGCAGGCAGCAGCTGAGAGAAAGCTTTTTCTTCTGAACATGCAAGAGCTCTTTGTCTTTAGGCTGTTTGTTGTGCCAGTTTAAGACTGATTATGATCTCGATCTAAGAACGCCGTATATGCACATATCAAAATAAGAGATATGAATAAACTTGAACATAATTAGCTCAACTGTGCAGCCACACAGCAAGCTTTTACTACGAAAATCACTCATCTAGATGTACAAGCAGTTCACCTTCTGCCTGATACTCGCACTCCTCCTCTCCATAGGTGCTGTTGGAAAGCTGCTGTACAGTGCTTGGCAGTCCTGACAGCTGCATGTTGAGAAGCGATCTCCTAGGGGCCACACAGATGCGCAGAGTGGGTGTGTGTTGGACTATGGATGGGGAAGCAGCCCCACTCAGGATTGGATGTGGTACCCAGCCTCTCTGCCCATCAGGGGAGAATAGGCCCTTCTATCTGCTTGGCAGCTCTGGCACTGAGAAATTGCCCATAATCACCCAGATAGCAGACTTTTGTCATCCTAACTGCGAGTGGGAAACAGAAGGAAGGTGGATTCATGTTGGGTAAACTACCATTGGATAATGGTTGTTCGAACAATATCCGGCTCTGGAGCGAGAATCTATCAAAACATATTGATCCTCGAACAAGAGAATTGGGTATGGCATGCGGAGCGCCTTTGTTTCGGAAAAGTGTTAGCTTCACAGAGACTGTACTGACAGCATTAATATATTAGATGGTGACTGTTGAGAGCCGCCTGCTGAGGCTCAGACTCTAACTGCTGCCTGCTCAAGATGCTTTCCCCTTTTGTGTTTATTTCTTATCTATTACGAAAACAGTGGCTTCGGCCATCGCGGGGTATCTATAATCAGAAAAGTGGTTTTAATTAAGATCATTCTTTATCTCCACTTGCAGCAGATTGACTCCTTCACTGGGGATTTCTCACCATACAAACCTGCCAAAAAAACTGAATGGCTCTCCTTCTCTCATATTTCCTCTTTTGTTTATCCTGATGAGGATTGACTGTCGCTGAGTAACACTGAGTGCAGGGAGAAGGGCCTTATTAAAGACTGGTGAAGGAAACCTGACGCTGTGTGTGTGTGTGTGTGTGTGTGTGTTGAGCGGTGACATTGAGCAACACTAATGAGATAGATGTTCATTAACCACTGCCGAGCCACCAGGCCAATAAATCCAATCAGATAGGACAATGCCTGATTAAGCCATTAACAGGGCTGCAGGCTCAGGCTCTTTGCTCCCCTTCTTGTTTTGACAAGGCCTGTATTGTCAGCTCATTAGTGCCAAAACTCAATTACATCTGAAGATGATGTATGATGACAAAATACTTTACGATTTCACATTTTAGAGGAAATTATTCACGGTGTAGATTTCGGCGAGGGTGTTTTTTGAGCCCACGCCAAACAGTGAGGAGACTGCTCGTCATTGAAAAGAAGGATGCCCAAGCCATCCAATCCAGGAATTCAGTCCTCCCTTGACTTCTCAGGCTCCCCAGTTTGTCCAATCGTTTATCATCATTACAGAGTCACAGTGATGGTTACGGTACGACACTGCTAGTCAAACAGTGGATATAATTCATAGCCCAGAATTAGAAATCAGAAAGTGCTGGTAATGTACATTTTACACCTACATTACTTGACTTGTAAATCAAAGGTCATTTGAGGAGAGACAAGGAAGGGACTGTGACAATCAACACAGTCAGACTTGGAGGGTTTATGACTTTGCATTCATATATGGACCTATGCAGCATAAAATGTTTCGTCAAAATTCTCACTGGACCTGACGTAAGTATTGTGCCTTCATGTTTGGTGTCACCTTCCTTCTGGACTTCTCTAGGAGTGGAGCAGGTGGTTGTAACATTTGCCTTAGTCACTTCAATAACTTTAAGAGGCCTGAAGTCAGTGAGTCACCATGAAAAAAGAGGACTTTCAGATAAAAAAATGACTATTTATTACATGTGACAAAAAAGTCAAGATTTCAGTCATTGATAGCAACTAACAAACCCTGTAATGCTAGAGACTTAAAGAGCCCGAAAACAAATGTTCTCAATCAGCTTCCTACTATAACTAATGGGTTTCTCCACAAACACAATATGTTCTGCCAAAGTTAGAACAGTTTTAGTTGTTTCACATGTGAGACTTCACTTTTCCTTTTTTCCTCTGGTTAAAAGTGGGTGGGGTTCATTTGGAATAAGCTGTTCAGTTGGCACTTTTTACCTCTAATATGGCACAGTTTATCTTGGCTACACAGTCCTGACACAGCTGCTGGATTCAAGAGCGCAAACCCTTTCACATTTGTCTGACTAACATCTTATTAAGCCAGTTTTCTTTTAATGAGGTTCCAGTAAAAGCCTGATGAAGAGGAAGCTTACTCTTTAAAGCTGATTACAAGCATCATAACTCATATACATTTCAATTATAGGAGGGAGTTGGGCTTTTGCAAAAACTTCCTAAACTTCCAAATTACTAAATGCCTCATTCAAATTATTAGCTTACTCAAAGTGTCCATATTATAACTGATAAACCAGAGAGTGTTTTAAGTTTGGGTTCAGTTTGTTGCAGAACCCCTCACTCACCTGTGGACCCATTGGGAAACCTGGGTGGGACTGGCCCAGTTGGCTCTGCTCAGAAGGACTGCTGCTGGCGTCAGACTGGACCGAACCATCACGAACTCCTGGGAGACAACAAACAAACCCACCTTAGATCAACACAGACAACATAAGTAGATAAATACGCAACACAGACGCGGTGATGTTACAACACAGAGTATCGCGCGGCGCAGAGGAGGGCAGTTGGGAAAGAAGGGGAATTTGTATTTAAGTGCTTTATCAATAACCGCTGTAGCACTGAATAAATTACCAACCAGCAGAGAGGCTCATTGATGGGGGATGATGCATACTGGCGGGTCCCCGATGGCCCAGATTACCGCTGAGAGATAGAGCTCCACCGCAAACGCTGGAGCCATATTATTCAGCCATTTACATCACTGAGTATCACTCATCTAAACCCACTCCCCCCCTCTGCTCTGAGCCTGCAGCCACGAGACACAATTAGACCTGTTTGCTATGAGGGCAGAGTGGAGCGGAGCAGACGGGGACATGATAATAAGGCTTGCTGATGGCTGCAGGGAAAATAAAGGACAAGTACGATTGGATATCACAGCAATTCCTATCTCACAGAATCTCTCAGCAGCGCCTGTGTGTAAAAGGTCTGAAAGACTACTTTGACCCTCACCCTTTGACTTCGACTAGATCACATGATGCCTTACGGTTGACACAAAGGCTTGTGGAGCGCAAATACGAGTAAATATTGCAGAAAGAGCTGTCAGAAGAATGAAGTGTATCTGTCTGTATCTGTCTGTGTATCTGCACCTGACTATGCACAATGACTTCGTTTTATTTTCTGGGAGCATCCACTTAAAAAAACAGAAAACTAAGAGCTGGAAGAATTTAATGTGAAGGGCACTTAGATCTTACTAAAGCAAGAATGTGCGACAACATGAAACAAAACAATAGTCTTGTCAACATGGACAAATATCTGATAATGGTAATAAAAATAAAAAAATAAAAAAATACAGTAACGTTCACATTGATTTTTGTGATTTCATATTTGCTCAAACTTTAAAAACAATATAAAAGAAATTGGCAAACACCCATGCAAACACCCTATAAACAAGCTAAAATGCACAAAGCAAACACATTGATTTTCATGAGAGGACTTTGTAAAAGAGAGCTGAAAAGATGTTGTTTGATGGTTCAGAGGATGAATGTCTTTTGAATAAGTTGTTGAAGGTGAGGGTGTGGAGCTTTAGAAACCAAATGTGATAAAACTATGTGCTACTATAAACAAGGACCCTTGTTCCCTTACAAGGGTCCCTGACAGGCTGTCAATACAGTAGATAACATCTACTCACTGATTCATCTCGCTCATTCATCTCTGTGCTAATGACAATTTCAGGCCCATTATTGACGCCAACGGCCATGTTTTACCACGTTTTAGCTTTAACCTCGGTGAACATAGCTGTCTCTGAGCAACCTTCGAGCAGTTATCCAAGTTATTTAAGCATTTTCTTGGATGAGATCTGTCTTTTTTGTGTGTTTTTACATTATACTACATTTTGGAGAGCAAGTGTCATCAACACACTTATTCGTTGGATTTTCAAGTTTTGTAGAAAGCACACTTTCTTTGTCCGTTCATAACATAACAAGTCACTGCGATTTTGTCATTTCTGAACGCAAATTATGCGTTTAAAATAAATAAATCACCATAGTCATACTGTTTATATTAGTTAGTAACAGAGAGCTGAAAGCTGAAAGCATTGTTTTTTTCTTTTCTTAAATGCCTCACATAAGTTTAAGCCCTGAAAACCAATTTTCTCACATGGCCTCTTGCTACAAGTGATCCTCTAGGGGTCTTACATGAACAAATGAACATTTTCTGCCAAAGTTAAAACACTTTGGGTATTTTATTGGAGAGACTTTTGTATTTTTTGCTTTTCTCTGTGCACTTCTTATTAGTTTGTAGTGGGCGGGGCTCATTGTCATGTACTACATTTGAATCCAAATCCGGTGATAGTGTTGTTTCTGTTGCAAGGCTGCTGTCAGTTTAATCTGAACCAACCACACCCACACAGTCCTGATGAAGATGGTTAGATAAGTTTTTGAGTGGGATTCTTCCAATAAATACTTTGTAAGAATGTTTTTTCAACTTAAACTCTGATTGTTAATTCTTTAACCACAAATATTTCATGTTACAAAGAAATATGTAGGACACATAGGTATTAAATGTGCTGTAGAGTTATCAAGAGACTACACAACATGTGGTGAATAAAGCTATTTTGTTCTATTCTCTCAACAAAGCATGAGTAAACTTCTACTATTTGATTGAGTTTTGAAAATTAAAGGCTTTAAGAAAGTACAGATGAGTTCCAGGAGCTCCTATTATGCACAGTTGCACAAAACATTGACGTATTTATTTTAAAAATACCAATGACATGAATTCACAAAAAGTGTATGTGCCATCTGTAATTTCATAAGCATAACTCTGTTTTGAATGTATGAAACAAAAATCCACACCAAGAGTGAATAAAACACTTTTTAAAAATGTACTGTCTCCTTCATAGAACAGCTCTTCCCCTGAATAAAGTGGATTTTGTAGATGAAGTTAAACCAACCATGTGGAAACGCGTTTGAAGGCCACACAAATGCGTTAAACTGCACAATGAATTAAAAAAATGTAATCCCATTTCCACTGTAAGATCAATTTTCTTAAATGGAATATCGCAGCTTTTTAAATAAAGAATAAAGCCCTGATGTATTGTGTCTTTTTATTCACTGGTGAATGAATGAATTTCTTGTAAAACGTACAGGGCATGCAGTAGTTTCCTTTATAGGACTTCATACAAAACGTACTACTGAATAGTCTTGCCAGCAAGATCTCATTGCCTGTCAAGAATATTTATGCTTTACATTTTAAACTCCCCTCCGCCAACTAAAATCATTTCATTTTTACATAAAATCCAAATAATTGGTGAATGGCATGACCTAACAAACCTCAGGCATTTGATGGTTGATGTGAAAGCCCAAGGGGAAGCCTGCTTTTCTAGCTGGTTTCTACCTCTGACTGGCTGGCTGGCCCTGCTTCTCGATGAAGGTCCACATCCTCTCGCTTATCAACCTCACAACGCAGTGGATATTTTGACAAGCCAGTCTCTTTTCACCAATTATTTCACCCATTATGGATCATGTTGTGCACAGCCCCACCCTGTGCAGTCAGTATCTGGAATTGAGATTAAATGTGAACATGCAGGACAGACTTCGTGGCTGTATTAGAGTCAATATAAAGTATATAAAGTACAACATCATCATAATTTACTTTATAATTTCACATTTATTTTAGAGAGTGGATATTGTGAGGCCATACATTTTCTACTGGATTTCATAGGTAGGTCTCAGGGCAGTTAATTCTCACTTTGGATGTTATCGAATTAAAGTAATTTCTTTTCTGCAGTCTTTAAACTGTCTGATTTTCATTTACAGCAACTCAAACTTTCCAACCATCTTAAAGGCACTTCTCTAAAGGCCTTTATACACCAGTGAATTATGTAGTTGTTATCATAACAAAGCCAATTAGCTAAATGAAGATATTCAGAATGAAAGTTTTTAACATCCTATCAATAGGCTCCAAACAGTCTGGTTCATGACTGTAGTTAAGATATTTGTTGTGAATAATGTATTCTATCTGATAAACAGCGTGGGAGACTTTCTGAATAACGATTCCTTGATTCCTTTCATTGCATCACATCACAATAACTTAGAAAGCTTCATCCCCTTGCAAATATCTGTAGCGTTAACACGTTTATCACAGGCGGAATAAATCAATAATAAATAAATACACATGCACATCTGCCCCCAAAGGATTTGTGTAATTTCTTTAACTAAATTAAATAGCTGACAGCAGAAATATCCAGGGAGTCAATCTTCAATTCTTTTTTTATTACTAGAATCTTTGTACATGTTTTGCTTTTCTTAAAAAAAAAAAATCCATCCTTATCCAACATGAATGATTCTTAAATGGATTTCCAGGTGGCGTTTAATACTATATACAGGAGGAAAAAGAAACACTTTACTAAAAAGAAAGTCCTTTGATGCAGTGATTATACAGAGGTTACACAGTCGAAAAAAAATGAATGAATAGATGTATTGATGTGAGGAGGAGAGATGAAAGAAGAGGCCAAACGGATGAAAGAACAGGCGATTCAACATTCAACGCAGCTTTACATTTATCTTGGACATTCAGTCTTCATATCTCTTTTTTAAAATTCCTGAGCAGTTTAATTGTTGGTGTAACCTCAAATCACATCTTCATTACGAATAACAAAAACACTCTACAGCCCTACAGTATCTATGTTTTTCATGCCCTTGACATTAAGAGGATGAATTTAATTACATGAAAGAAGGCATATTAATTCAACACTCATGCTGACATTGATGGATGGATATTCTCAGTGAAAATACTTTTTTTTATGTAAGTGAAATAATTATATTTATTGTAGGGCACAGAGTGCAATTTGATGTGACTTATGTCACAGAAATATTGCCAATATCCACCACTATAAATTCTCTTTCATTGATCACCAAAGTGGCCACTGGAGAGCGACTTTCAATGCCACACAAGGCAGAAGGTCTCTCTGTGCTGTGTGTGTGTTGGGTGGTTGGAGGTGGGGTGGTGGTGGGCAAAGAGCTATAGTTATTTGACTTCATTCGGCCTGTCTTAATGCAGGGTGCCCCAAGGACTACACCACAAAACAATTAGCCTGGATTTCATAAAGCAATCAGCATGCCACCTTGTCTAATGCAACCGCTTCATACATTGACAGTCTGAATAAAATGGGTGTTATTGAAAGCTTTGTGTTCATGTTAGCTTTCGCCTCGGTGCATTCATGAATCAATTTTTGCCCATAAAAGAAGCTTTAACACTTAAGCTATTTTAGTGGAAATGCATTATGTAAGTTGTCAAACGTACGAGAGAGGCCTGGTAACGATTCAGGCTATTCAGAATGAACAGCCAACCCCCATTTTTATAATGGTCCTTTAGAAAATGTCTGGCTGAGTGCATGTGTTTGCTATTAAGATGGTGTCAATCATTTTGCTGCTGAAATCTAATCCGTTGAAA